ATTTATTCAATTTATTTTAACAATATAATTTAAAAATCTAAAGTGCCGAAAAGTTATGAATAAAAGGCTAAAAACTTTGTTAAAAAGGTTTTTTTAAAGTAAAAGTTTTGCTTTTTATTAAAATAAATTCTGACGGAAATGGAGTGGAGAAGAAATGACTAAAAGAAAAAAAGTTTTTTTTGACTAAAAGTGACATTTTTTTATAAAGGTAGCAAAAATTATTAGAAAAAAGTATAAAATAATTTTTTATATAATAAACAAATTATTTTTGACATTTTTAAAAATGATTTTTGATTTTACAAAAATAATTAATCTACAAAAAACTAGTAAATTAGACATAGTTTAGAGTATACATATATGTAAATTATTGGATAAAGCATTGCGAATGTTCAAAAAATATTTTAATGTTATTATTAAACAACTGTAAATATTTCTCATCATTTAAATATTTTTTAGTTTTCCTATTTCCAAGCATATTAAAATAATCCTCTCAAACTAATTTTAGATATTCCCTTTCTTCAAATTTAAATTGTGCCCATTAACCTTATTCTGCTGAATATATCAATCATAAAAAGCCCAGTTTAAAAAATGTAGTGAGGCCATGGTGACTCTTATTTACAGGGCATTTGCCCTATTTTTGACCCTGAGTGAGGCTTATAAATAAAGGAAGAGAAATCATTTTTATTAAAAATTAAACTTTCAAAACTTTTAACTAAAACAGATATTTTTCTCAAAATAAAGTTTTTTAAACTCATAATTTTCTAGGTTTAAATAATAAAATCTTGTACAAAATCAAGATAACTTTTATTTTTAGCTATTTAAAAATGCAATCTCTACCACCCGAAGTTCAACTTGACGTTTTAAAATGTCTTACTTTTGATCAAATATTCTCTGTTAAACAAACAAATTTTTATTTTCATAATTTTATTAGTAAATATGAGAGTGGATTGGCGAGAATGAAATTTAATGGACTTAAAATAGTAAATAGCTATTTTTAGTTTTAATTTAAATTTTTATAGACTTCCATTGACCCTACTGATCTAAAGCATTTAGAACATAAAATTATTGATGTTGAATCCGGAATTTTTGATTTTACTTTGAATGATCGACTTGAAGAGAAGGTGTAATTAATTATATTAAACACAAATTACATTTAAATTTATTTAGTGGCAGACATCGATAGATAAATTAATTCCGTTAGCTTTGCATGATATTGGTAGATCTGGAAATATATTTATTGTTTTGGAGAGAACAAAGAATGAGAAACTCAGTTATTATATGTTAAAATTGCCAGACTTTCCCAAAAACATAAAAGAAATGATTATTATCCGATGTTGGTTAGAAAGGCTTTTTGATTGCGCTTTTGAATGTTTCTACAATATTCTTGGATGTTTATTTAATCCAGAATTAATTAATTTATTATTTGATAACGACAAATTAATGCCACTAAAATTCCACGTACAAAGACCCTACATTTATTTTAGAAAGAATATACAGGGTGCGGCAAATTAAGCGCGCGTTTGTTTTTTACCATAACTTTCTTCAATTTTAATGAAAATTGATAATTCTTTTTTTGTTTTATTCCCAACACTTTAGGAAACTTGCTGATACCAAAATTGCTTTTTAATTTTAAGTTTACTCTGAGTAAACTTCCCTCACAGTTTGAGCAGAATTTTTTGGATAAAAATTGGCCTAGATTCAAGGCTGAGATTTTAATATTGGAAATGTTTATATCATTCGAATCAGCTCTTCATTCTGATTCGAATGACATAAAAATCATGGGGCTACGACAAAAATCGAATGAGATATGGTCCTCTGAATGATAAATTAAAATAATTTTGATAAAAATAAAATTTTTGTGTAAAATTTTCAAAAATGAGATTATAAGCTATTTCGATGCTCCTGAACGAGATGAGTCGTTTAGTACCAAAATCATTGGTATTGAACTATTTTGAACGAAGTTATGATCAATTAAACTTTGGCATAGAAAATGTTTTTAAATTTTCCAGACGATCGAACTCGATTATCTTTGCCAACAGTGAACCAAATTTTTAATATTTGGTATCAGCAAGTTTCCTAACGTGTTGGGAATAAAACAAAAAAAGAATTATCAATTTTCATTAAAATTGAAGAAAGTTATGGCAAAAAACAAACGCGCGCTTAATTTGCCGCACCCTGTACTATTTGAAAATACTTTGAACTTCGTTTTAAATCATTTATCAATTTCTAAATCTACTTTTATTTCTTTTTTCGGAGATAATATTTCAGAGGATCAAATAAATATTCTATTCAATATTTTAACAAATGAAGGAAATAAATTACCTCAATTTTGTTTAAGAAGTAACAATTGTTTTGAAATGTCACGTATTTATGATCTTATTGTTAAAGTTAATTTAAAAAAATTACTCAAAAATGAATTAAAATTTTAGCATATAAAAACATCCAAGGACTGTTCAAAAATGGTGCCTGTTATTATCCTAAATTATATTTCCTTATCAAATTTTAAATTGGACGAGAAAGCAAAAAATGTTGAAGTTGAGCAATCCCATGGGTTAAAATATACAAAATACATAATTGCCAATAAACACAATTCAACAGTGAAATTTTCCTTTTGCAATGGAGTGCGTACAGAAGGATCCATTTTTCAGTTTAGAATCCAAATAATGAAATTATAGAACCTGAGAAGAATACAGACAATTAAATCAGACATTTAAATGTTAAAATTTATTTAGTTTTATAAACTTTTTTATTAAAATTTTTTGTTTTATAACATTTGTGACAATTTTTATCCATGTAGAGCTATCAATTTTAAGTATTTTAACAGATTTTACTGCCATGATTTCCCCGATATTCCTCTTAATCCATCCGGAATAATTATACTTTAAACGCAATTTAGTGAAAAGGGTCAATTGTAGAAATGAAACATTTAGGCTTTAATACACAATTTTATTTAATAGTTTTAAATAATAGCAAATAAATTCACCAAAATATTGTTTTCAATTTCTTTTGAGATTGATATTTTACCTTAATCTTACTTAAATCCAATAATAGATAAACTTCGATTTATACAGTCAATTATATTTCCGTTTTAAAGATAGCCATCGACAACAACTTATGAGCTTTTTTAGATGTCGAAGATTCTTGATCTTACTAGGTCTTGAATAAAGATATTTCTTAGGGTTTTGATCTTAAATCATGTCCTTAAAACAACCTAAAAATGTTAATTGATCAATTTTTATGAGGCTTGTTATCACGGTACGCTGCGATATGTTTGGTGCCGGTACGGCCTTCGAAACAAATCCAATAAACGAATAAAAATACTACAAGAATAATCAAAAAATAATTTCGGCCTAACTACACTTTAGCAACGTGATCTATAAATAGATGATACCAAAATTAGCCCGCGAACATAAACTGGACAAGAATCAAAAATAAAATTTCAAACAAAATTCTAAAATTTCTACTTTTTAGCCACAATTATTTAAATTTAATTTCCCTCCACCTCAACCCACTCATTCTCAAAAAATACAAAAAAAGAGGCGGATATTTATTTTAATTAAAACAATTTATCCCATTATCTATTAAATATTGTGAATTTATTTCCACTCAGAAACGAATTTAAAAAATATATCTCTCACGCACTTATTAAATATTTTAATTAATTTATTTATTAATTTAATTATTTTAATTTAATTTTTTAGAATAACTAACGAATAAATTAATATTATGTTGCTGTTTAAAAATAATAAAATAAAACAAAATATTATTTTATTTATTATTTTATTGATATTATTTAAAGAAACTCATTGGTAAATAATTAATTTTATTTTTAATTAAATAATTATAATCAAATTAAAGTTTAATTTCGTTATTTTTCTTTTTTCTTAAATTTTAACCTCAAATGGAAAGAAAAATTTTAAAAATCAAAAACATCCAATTAAAAAAATTTTTTGGTTTTTATAATTATTTACCAGTTTAATTTATTGAAAAATTTAATTCTGATATTTTATCTATTTGTTAATTTTAAGGAAAAAACAGAACACATTTATTTATTCTTTAATTCATTATTTCTTAATTAAAAAAATATTTTTTAATTTCCCCAGAGGAAATAATTTTTGTTAAAATTAAATTAAAAAAATTGTTACAAATATGTAAACATAAAATGTTTAAAAAATATTTTTTGGAATTATTTAATTTTAAGAAATTAAAAAACATTTTTTTAAATTAAAATTATTAATTTAATTTAGTTACAATATGGAGAGACTTTTACAAAATCGACGAATTAGATCATTCCAACGTTCATATCAAAATGAAAATAACAAAATTTTGATTCCAATTACCAGAAATTCTTTAATTAGAATATCAAAACAAGTTATTTATTTAAAAGAATTTTGAAAAATAATTAATTTTAAAGGAACTAAAATTAATTGGGGGCGTTTCAAAAAATTGTTTTTTTACCCCTATACAATGCATGATACAACATGTTTGTTAATTTATTTAAAGAAAATTATTTAATATTTATTTTTAAGGATATGAACAAATTAAGCCGAATGTTGGACCAAACAAATAAATATTAATTAAAATTAAATATTTTCTTTGTTTTGGTAAATATAATTTTAAATGTTGAATTAAAAAGTTTTTAATTAAATATATCTTTTCATTAACCAATTTTTAATTTAACATTAACTAAACATTAACCAATTAACTGATTTTTGGGTAAAAAATTCGAAAATACAAATACATTCGAGAAAGCAGTTCGTAATTCGAAAAAGTTCAGTATTTGAAAATTTTTGGTCACAGTTCGAAATGTTCCTTTGTGAGTCGGATGACACCAAAATCAACGAAATCTAACGCGATCGCACAAAGTTATGACCATTTGTTTTAACCCCTCGCACAAGGCCTCCCGGAAAAGTTTTTGCCGCTGCGGTATGTATTTTCGAATTTTTTACCCCAAAAATCAGTTTGGAAGGAAGAAAAAAAGAACTTTTGGAAAATTAATTTTAAAAATTAAAAAAATTCATGATTGCCTTTAATTTTAATTTTATCCTTTTATTTTTATTCTCATCCTTACACAATTCCTTCTGATTATGATGTGATGCACGTATTAAACAAATTCTCTTTTCTAAACATTTCTTTCCACAAAATACATCATCTCGGCGAACATAATTTCTTTAAAAAATAATTTTCTTTTGAATTCTCTCTTAAAATTACTTATTAAATTTTCTAGAAATTTCTGGATCTCTTTCAATTCTTTTAATTAATTCATTCCACTCTGTAACACTCAAATCTTTTAAATTATATTCATCTTTGGCAGAGTAAAGAAATTCCCATTTTGGGGATTCCTTGGAAGTTTTTGTGTTTGATAAATTTAAAAAATAAGTCTGAGAAAAAAAAGAAAATTTTCTTTTAAAAAATATTCAAAAACACCTCATAATCCAATATTTCCCAATCTGTTGGATTTACACTATAAATTCTATATGCTGGATTAAGCTCTTCAAAAGTCGAAACACTTGGGGCAGTAAATAATACAGAAAGTGGTGCAGTGCCTCTATTGTTCATATCAGTAAAAAAGATGGAAAAACTATCATAATGAGTATGTCCAAAGAATTGGCCTCTAATTGTTTGTTCAAATCTGGAAAGAAAATTTTTTTTGTAAAAATAGAAACTCAATTCCCAATCCAATTTTATTTAAATTTCTAAAAATTTATGTAATTAACCTTATAACAATTCTGTAATAATTTCGTGACCAACTTTCAAGGCACTCTTCATCGCCTGGAGGAATATGTGACAAAATGTAAACTGCCTAAAAATGAATAAACATTTTAAGAATGAGAGAATCAGTCTATTAATTACTCTCAAAGCATTCTTTTAATTTTAATAAAATATTTTAACACACCTTTCCACTTTTCTCGGCATTCCAAAGTTGATTAACTAGCCAAGTTAAAGAACCTGGAGCATTGATAAAGTTAAAAATTAAAACAAGGATAAAGTTTTAAATTATTTTTGTTAATGTTTATTTTTGTTAAATTATTTTTGTAATTCTTTACCATCCGGATCTGTTTGATTGATATAAATAAACATGTTTGTATTGTCACAATAACTAAATTATTAAATAATTTACTTTTTAAAAATAAAATACCCATTGTTTAAAGAAATTAGTCGAAGATTGCCATAATCAACTGCATAAGAACCTCTACTACAAAAATTTTATGATTACTATATTCCGTCGCTAGTAGTATATACACGAGTTTTATTCCACTTTTTTCTTTCAAAAAAAGCAAAATAAAACCAGTGTATTTTTAATTTAATTTCTTTACGAAAAATGTAACATCAATATAATCAACATCTTTATAGATTTTTAACACAAAATCAAAACCTATAGAAAAGGTGAAATCTTATTAAATGTCCTCAAGCCATCTAAAAATATAAAAAATTAAAAACTATAAACGTTTTAAAATTTTTTAAAATAATAACTGTAAAAATTTAAAAATTTTTTAACTTAAATTGAAATTTGCTAAATCGAAAAATTTTAAAAACATATATAATATCGTATTATATGTATATAATATCGTATTTTATAAAAGTTAAACTATCTGAAAAAGTAAAAAAACGATAAAAAATGAATTAAATTTAAAAGGCAAAAAACTTTTATTAATTTCTCTATTTGTTTCCTTTTTAACTTGTCGCAAATATTATTTGTCTTTATTGTATTAAATAAAAGACAGTATAATATATAATTAAATGAAACTAGATTACAAAGTAATCTAAAAAGAAGTAAAAATTGTTCCAGAATAAAAGAAAAATGTGCAAAATCGCAATGTGCAAGTTGTAAAAGTACAAACAATATTTGTATGTAAAATATTAATAAATGAATTTATTATTGATAAAAAAGAAGTAAAAAAGGGATGTATACAAAATATTGTAAAGGGTATTTAGGAATTCAATATGATATTTGATTCAAATCTGTCTGTAATTAGAGTGTGTTATAACATTAGGCATGACGGTTACGACCCCCCAGTTCAATGTTTATAGAAACTTAGACCAAACATTTGTTCTAATTTATTTTGTCACATCTCAAAATGTCCAACAGACCAAATGCACAACTTACACTCAAGTTAAAAATCTAGCGATGCTTACTGTATTTCCTACAGACAAACAATAAAAGCGACACGCCCTCCTATATGATTGGTTTAACTCAAGAAACTATGGCCAATTTAAAATTAAAATACAAATAAATTAAAACAAATTTATAAATAAACTAATGAAATATGTATATAATAAATGATTAAATAAAATATAGATGAAAAATTTTTATTGTTTGTCACTTTCTTTGTCTTTATTAGGGTCAAAACAAAAGAGACATATTAATATAATAAAACAAAAGAAAATAGTAAATTGGTGTTTTAATTGATATAGATAAAGAACGGTAAATGAATGAGGTCGTTTTTCTACTTATACTAATAACAAAAGAAAATGATAGGTAAACAAACATTACAATGAGTAATGTTAATAGTTAAGTAATAAAGTTAAGTAAACAAAAAATATTAAAAGGTTAATTGACTTATTACAAAGCTATTTATCAAGACAAAGAAAAAGTTAATTTATCTTAAACAAACAAACGGGTTTTTATGAACGTGGTAAACATATTAAAACAAATCAAAGTTGTTACACAAAGGAAAATGTTAAGTGATCTTAAACAAACAAACTTAGTTTTTATGACAATAAAAAAGCTATAAAAGCAGCTCATCTTTACAATATCAGTCATTCATTAATATTTTTAAAGAAAACAACTTTCATCTCCAATATCGCGTTCAAATTTTTTATTAAAAATTTAAATTATTTTTTAATTTTTTATTAATTTTTATTTATTATTTTATCAAAATTTTGTTAAGCCATTCTTTTATTAAAGTTAAACAGTAGGATCCAACTTTTTGTTTTCCCCTATAATATCTACTTATCTTTATTTTTCCTAGATATAAGCTTTTAAAATAAATTGTCAATTAAATTTTATTCAATTAAGCTAATTCTAATTAATATATTATTCTATTTTAATAAATTTCGAAACATTCCTTAATATATATTCGTCAATTGTTTTAATTAATTAATTTGCATTAACTAATTACATATCCCATTGTCTTAAAATATTGAATTTATTTTTATTTTAATTAAACTAGGTAAATAACAATAGTATTTTTGAAATATTTAATAGCAGATATCTGAATACATAAATATTATTTTTTATAAAATTGTTCTATTAAGCCTAAAATTCTTATTTCTAAGCTCTCATCTGAAAGCACACCCGCAATATTTACACCCCATAAGATAAATTTTCTGTTTAAATATAAAAGATACTGAAATAGTAACAAATTCTCCAATCTCCCTAAATTAATTAATTTTTAGAATTATTTTAAATAAATTTATCATTACTAATAAAATGAATTCTAAAAACTCTGCTAAAACCGGTAAGTGAATATTATATTTAAATTTAATCGAATTTATAAAAAATATCTTATAGGAAAGGGATCTGCCGAGAATAAAAGTGTCACACCAATTGAAGGTAAAAGGCTTACTGTTTTAAAAAATTTTAACGATTCAGATAAAATGTCTGCTGAGGAAATTAATCAAGCTTTTGCTTATATTATTGAACAGCGAAAAAAGAAAGGAAATGGACGAACAAAATCGCCAACTAAAACAATAAACAAAACGCCAAAAAAGTCTAAAAAACCAAAACTAAGTGAAAATGGAAGCAATGATTCATCTGAATCGGTTATTAATATACTAATATTTTTAGTTAACAATTTTAGATTGAAAAAACAAAAGATATGAAGGATGATGAGGATTTACATCAGGCAATTATGAAAATGGATGATGAATCAGATGATCCCGGAGCAGACGAAGTGATAGAATTGGGGGATGACGAGGAGCATTATCAACAGCTGCGTCTAAATAGTAGGTTTTATACATTTATTTATAATTTGATAATTTAAGGAAAGGAAAGAGCGAAATTTATAGTGCCAACAGCATTACTCAATCGTGCTCAAGCCCTTAAGAATCAAAAATCTGGTATTTTTGTATACCAGTGCGAACCTTGCCGTCTAAATCAAAAGAAAAGGGAATGTTTTCTCTTCAAAACTGGTCAACAAGGAGTTTCAGTGCTCACAATTGAATTATGTGGCGAGGATTTAGACAAAAACATTTTACTGGAAAAACACTATTCTTTTCATTTTGGTGAGATCGTAATCACTAATTTTAAAAATTTTTCTAGGTAATCAAAATGGAGAACTTTTAGAGGGAACATCAAATAATGGTAATGGGTAGTTATTATAATATCTAAATTAATTTGTTTTAAGATGTTCTAAATTTTCAAAAAGGAAAGAGTATTTCAACAGGAAACGACAAGAAGCTATTAAACATGAAATATTGCTGGATTCTGCACCAGGTATTTTAAAGATATACACAGGATTAAATTAAATTCTAGTGTACCCACTGCTCCGAACTTACAAAAAAACTGGCTATCGACCTTTTTGTTCAAAAGAATGGTGAAAAATATGAGCTTAGCTTCGTGGTATGTTAAAAAATTAAAAATAGTAATAATTATTTAAGACCTGTTCTGAATGTACTACTGGAAATGTAGATTATCATCAAAAAATTTACAACTTATTTAACAACATTAAATAATCGATAAAAAAGAATTGATATGAGAAACATGAAAAATAATATGATTAATAATATCTTAAAGAATAAAACTTTTAATTAATTTAATTTTAAAGTAGCCGTAATATTAGCGGATTAATATTTATAAATTCTATTAGATTAAATTTAATTTCAGGAATATTTATCAATTTTAAATTCTAATTTTCAAATGGAACAACAATTTGCAGTTAGAGCAATCGGACTTCTAAAAGAAAATATTTTTAAATTATCTAAACAACGCAGTCTATTCGAAAATGCACAACACGATCAAAGAAAGCTCAAAAATTATTTATATTCAGCATTTATGCAATTCCATCAAAAAAGACATCCACTAATATCAACTAGCCGTGTACATGAATATCTGCTCAAGGAAAAGAACGCTCTTGCAAGAATTGTATGTTTTAATTTTTAAAAAGCTTTAACTTATTTAGGCAATTACTGAAATTGTAAAAGAGGAATTATATTATGAGCTTTATGACCCATTGAGCAAATTCTGGCAACAAATTGATTCAGAGATGGCAATAAACATTTGCAAAGTTGACGAGAATATGCAACAAAAATTATTGACTAATGAGAGAGAAGGTTACTGAAAAATATAAAAAATATTTTCTATTATTTTAGACTCTCCAATTGTATTTATGAGTGAACGTCTTGATGCGAATCTTACTATTCAAGACAACAATGCTGACGAAGGAAGCTCGAATGATCAAATAGTACCCGAAGAAATGACAGAATAATTTTGAAAATTTATTTCTGCTAATAAACTTTAATATCTAATGTTTTTTCTTAAATAGTGTTGCAATACACTAAAATATCTAAAAATTATAAAATTTTATACTTTTAGTTTTTTAGATGAAACGTTATTCAAGAAAATTTGGAAATTTAGAAATTAATCATTTTTACAATGAAGAAACATCTGAATTCATTAAAAGCAACAGATTTAAAATTGGAGTATTCAGGTCAATTACACGGCTAGTTATAAATCTGTAAATTCTTAAGGAGTGTTTTCATGGTTAAAAATATAGAAGAAGCTCCAAATGGTCGAGAACAAATATTAGAGGATTTGATTGATCACTTTTTAGAAAAAGCAGACAAATCAGCGGGAACAAAATCTGAAAAATGCTCTATTATAATAAGAAGCTCAGTGCTCGAAAAACCTATACAAATTCCATACAGAAATTTAACACAAAACACACCATTTGTTGTTATGGAACAATTTGATGCTGTTGAGCAAAGTGGTAAAAGAATGGGAAGACCATCAATTTACAGTCAACCAATACACATTGAGGTTTTTACAACAATAAATTTAAAAATGAATGTTTGTTTAGATAGTGATGGGCCCCTCACATGATGAAGCTCAGGAGTTGATAAGAAAAGGTCGCAGAGGAAGTGGTAGAAAATCACGAGAAATTATACGGGGTATAGACGTGAACAATCTCATACAGGTAAATGATTATAATTAAATAACGATCTAATATCAAGGTTCACAATGAAAATCTTGGCGAACCCTTCAAATATTATTGTCTAATATTGGCTGTACAACTTACGATTCTTTATGTAAATTTGGAAAAAACTACGTCAGCTCAGAAAAACTTTATGAGGCTTGTGAATGAGAACGGCGCAAAATATAAGTTAAATCGTATTATGTTAATAAAGAAAATGTTGGAACAAATGAAAAGACATGGTATAAGATTCCCTCTGGGATTACAACAATATATTGTGGAAGAGCATGCACCTCTAATACAAAAATTGCTTAATGAACAGTTCCCAGGAGAATATAGGCTTGCGATATTCGGAGAAACAGGTCAAATGAAAAGTTTATGGAAAGGGAGTGAACGAGCAAATAAGGATATTTGCCTTTACTTAATGAATGGACATTATTATGGAATAAGAAACATTAATTCACTTTTTGGCAAAAATATGTATTATTGTATTGAATGCGAATCGCCATACCAAAGAAAGACAGAACACAGACAAAATTGTACAGCAAAGTGCCCAAGATGTTGTGGAATTGGACCGGATTTTCCTTGTAAAGAAATTGAAAACTACGAACATCTTTGCATTCAGTGTTCTATTTTATTTCGTAATCCAAACTGCTACAAACGACACATGGATAAAGGAATTTGTCAAATTTTTAAAAGGTATTTTAATTTCATACTTTAAACAATTTAAGATAGATGTACGAAATGTGGCCAAATTTATCGAAATAAAAAAGATGAGGACCATGTTTGCTTTATTCATTTCTGTTCACTTTGTAAGTCATGGCATAGACGTGAAGAACATTGCTATGTACAACCAATTCTTCCAAAACAAAATCAAAAGGATTATCTTTTGGTTAATTTATAAAATAAAACTAAATAATATTTAAAACAGATTCCATTCGATTTCGAGTGCGAACTAGTGTCACCATTAAAAAATGCTGAAGAATGGGATACTATCGGAAAAGAATCAAGCGTCATTCCCGATGATGAAAATTATCAATTTCATCATGTGAATTGTGTTTCGGTAATAAAAATACTTTTTCATGATAAACTTTAACTTAGGCAATGATAATTTGCTCAAAATGTATGCGAACCGAGAAATGGAAAGAAGAAAGTACAGATGGATGCAAAATTTGTGGCAAAGTAAAAACAAGAATGCTAAGCTGGACCGGCGCTGATTATGATAATCCTCTTCGGGAATTTCTCAAATGGCTGATATACGATTTAGATCATGAACGTACAGGTCGTACATATGCAATATCACATTATGGAGGGTATGATTAAATCAACAATTTATTTAAATGTCCTTATAGGCGATATGATATGCATTTACTTCTCGGCGAATTAATCAAACACTTTGGCTTAGAGCCAAATATAGTTAGGACTGGAAACAAATTATATGAAGTTCTGGTCAAGAAGAAAAACGGCATTTGTCCTTATATTTCATTTCGTGACTCTTTTAATTGGATGATGTTGAAATTGGAACAGTTGCCTAAGGCTCTTGGTCTAAATATAGATGAAGGCGGAAAATCATTCTTTCCGCACGGGTGGAATTACAACAAAAACATGAATTTACAACTTGATGGACTGCCTCCGAAAAAATACTATTATCCTGCATCTATGGGAAAGGAAAGAAGAGAAAAGTTTGAGAAATGGTATAAAGTAAACATGAATCAACCGTTTTGCCTTCGCGAACAAATTGTAGAGTATTGTGAGCAAGATGTCAGAATACTTGCTCATGCTCTTGTGAAACTACAACAGCTGTTTTTCAAACTTGCTCCAGATCCTTCCAAACGAGATGACATACTTGTCTCTTCAATGACATTAGCGAGTGCATGCCTTCGACATTTTTGTAATTTTCTAAGTTTTTATAAAGATATTTTTAAAATTTAGGTATCAACTATCTGAATAAAAACCAGATTGGCATTATTCCGGACAATGGTTATCATAAAGATACAAATCAGTCTGCAATTGCCCTTAAATTTATCAAATGGCTTGAGCATGTCTGGAAGAAACCTATTCAAAATCAACAAAGTGCTGAGGGAGAGTACAAACTTGCTGTTTCAGATGGAAGTATTTTACGACTTGATGGATTTATTGAAGGAACTGATGGAGGCCATGCTATAGAGTTTCTAGGTTGTGCATGGCATGGACACGAATGGTAATTTCTCTATTTAATATTATAAATAATATTTAAGCCTGTATCAACCACATGAAATATGTCTTAATGGAAAAACTGCATTATTTAATAGAGAAAAACTTGATGAAAGAATTAAATTGATTAAAGAGAAAAACATCATTCCGCATATAATGTGGGAATGTGATGTATATAAAAAGTTGGAGGAAGATAAAGAATTGGCACTTTTCTTTAATGCGTTACCCGACATTGGTCCATTATTCCCTAGAGACTCTTTTCATGGTAATGATTTTTAATACTTATTTACTTTTGAATTTAGGAGGAAGAACCGGACCTCTAGCACTCAAATGCGACCTTGAAGAAATTGAAGGGTTTGAAATTTCCTGCTATGATGTTGTCAGTTTATATCCAGCAGTTAACTTTTATGCATTCTATCCAATTGGTAGTAATAAATCTGAAAATTTTAAATTATTGGATATCTAGGACATCCCAAAGTTATGGATCTGAATCAAGACGTTTTATGGACGAAACCGGAAGATATGCATCCTTATAGAGGATTATTCAAATTATTCATTATTCCACCTGATGACTTGTTTCTGCCTGTTATTCCAGAACGTATACATGGAAAATTAGTGAGCTTTTAAAAATAAATAATTTAAAAACAATCTTAGGTTTTTCATCTTTGCCATCGTTGTGCAATCGAAATGGATCCTGGCGTACCTAAGCGCACAGAATTCAAATATAGTAAAAAATATGGCTCAAAATTATGCCAGCATAGCGATAAGCAGAGAGGGTTTGTAACCACGACGTGTTCAGTTGAACTTGAACTTGCCTTGAAAAAAGGATATCGTGTTGTGCATGTATATAGCGTATATCACTGGGAAGAATGGTCTGATACATTGCTCAGACCATATGTTCAAGATATGATGCGTTTAAAGATAGAGGTTAATATTTTATTACTTGTATTAATTTTAAAACTAATAGGCAAGTGGATGGCCTGGTAGCGTTCTGCACCCTGAAAATACTGACTTAGAAGAAAGGCTAAAAAATGAATTTATTGATCTAAACCAAAAAGAATATGGTATCAGGCTTGATCCTACAAGAATGGAAAGAAATGAAGGAATGCGTTATTTAGCAAAAACATGCAATAATTCCATGTAAGTAAAAATAGGAAATAAATACATGTTATTCAGGTGGGGACGTTGGGCACTTCGTTGCAATTTGACTCAAGATTGTATTACTAATTCACCAATTAAACTACATACAGTTCTCAATGATCCAAAATTGGAAGTGGGAGCTGTTGAATTTTTAACTCCCGATTTATATGCAGTTCCATTTCGACTTCGAAAAGAATTTGTTCGTCCGCATGAAAAATACAATATAATATTAGCACTTATTACCACCGCAAATGCTAGGGTGATGTTATATGATTATATGGATAGAATTGTTCAGGAAGATGAATCTAAACTTCTTTACACCGATACTGATAGCTGCTTCTACTTGCACAAACGAAATAAAAAACCACCATTTCGCGTAGGAGACATGCTTGGAATGATGAGCCGCGAATATGAAGATTGGAACATTATTGCATTTTATACCGGAGGATGCAAACAAGTTTAGATAATTTATATTTTTAATATTATTTGCAGTATGCAATGAAAATGAAACATAGGAAAAGTGGCGAAATTAAATATATTGTCAAGTGTCGAGGTTGTTGGGACACAGTCGATTCGCCACTCGATTTTAATCAATTCAAGGTATATCTAATAAAATTTATTTTACAATAATTATTGTTAAGAAAATGGTAGAAGCATATGGCGAAGAGCAAGTTCCTGTTGTTTTGGAGAGAACACACTTTCAACCTAGCTGGCGTCGTGGAGAAGTCACAAGTCGTTCGCAAACTAGGTATTTAGTTCTTTTTTTCGCAATACTTATTAAAATTTCAGACGATATGCACCTATATATGATAAAGGATTTGTAGATGCAGATTTGGATTGTTATCCCTATGGATACAGAGGAAATCCTATTTTAGATCCAACTGTCTGATAAATTAATTTGATAAATTTATAAATCAGAAATCTTTCTTAAATATGTGTTTCATCATATATATATTTTAAAAAATAATATACTTTAGTTTTTAGCTTCAGGCATATCAAAATGATTAGCGACATAAACATAGGTATTTTGCAAATATAATATTAATCTAGAATTAATAGACACTACTGCACGCCTCCTTGAACACATTGCACTCCAACAACCTATTACAATTTCGCAACCTCCTGAAGAAATAATGGGCATTCAGAATCAAAAAATATTCATTTTCTATTCACCAAAGTGTGGATTTGATAATCGCTTTTCATCAGAATTTACAATACTTGGAAGAACATTTAATACTGTAGATCAATATTTGGAATGGCAAAAGGCTCGCTTTTTTGGCGATTTGGAAATCGCTAGCGAGTTGCTATTGACCCGCAACGCGACAACTATTAGAAGAATTGGAAAGCGCGTCCGTAATTTTAATCAAGAAGAGTGGAGTAATGTTAGGAATAAGGTATAACCTCTCCTAAGATTTCCAAACTAATATTATAAATTAGGTGCTGTACACAGGATTGTGGGCTAAATTTACGCAAAATATTCAATTATTCAATCAATTGCGTTCAACAGGCGATGGACTCTTGGCGCAGGCTTCGGCATCGGAGTTTTATTGGAGCAACGGTGTTCGACCTACAAGCTTAACACTTAAAGATCCTAGCAAATGGGAAGGTGAGAACTATTTGGGAAAACTTTTAATGGAATTAAGAAGTGAAATTAATACAAGTATTTATTGACTTTTCAAAAACATTAAAATTGTATTGTAAATTTTATTTTGAATTAAATAAATTTCCTCTTCGGATCGTGCGCCTGTAATTATACATTTTCCTGTCGTAAAGACGATAACAACTGAGCGATATTCTTTAAGGCGTAGGCACATGCCAGGAAAAAATTCTGGGTTATATGAAATGTAACGAGCAAGCCAATCAGGTGGAGCAATTCTCATCGTATCATATAAGGCTAAAAAATAAATAAGTGTATGCCTAAAAATTACCGGGTAAATTTAGATATCCCGGAAAAGCAAAAGATGAAACAACATTCTGTATTTTAAATGATTGCATATCTATTGACGAACAATTTGCTGCGTTTATGAGCTTAACAAAATTCCTAATAGCAATTTTCGAGTCCTTAACCGATTTTGTTCCAACACATACAATCTTTCCGTTAGAAAATATTAATGCTGTAGATCTAATAGGTTGTTCAACTTTAATTATAAGTGCTGAGAAACGTTCTGGCGAATATTTAGCATTTTTAATAATATTTGAAAGAGAATAAAGATCAAGTTTCTTATTTTTATTAAGTAGTTGAGCTGTTGAAACAACATTTTGAATAATAGCTTTAGAAAACATCTATAATATATAAGGAATCATGAATTATTTAATACAATAAAAATGTTCAAAGCACCCTTCACTATGGTTATTTCCGGTGCCACAGGCAGCGGAAAAACCCAATGGCTTATGAGATTTCTTGCAAATTGCGACCAATTAATTGAGCCTCCACCAAATAAAATATTATATTGTTTTGGCGAAATGAACGAAAATATATTTAAATTGAAGGAACTGGGAATTACTACCTATAACGGGGTTCCTGAAGTTGAACTAATCAAAAATCACCAATTATTAATACTGGATGACTTAATGCTAAATATGCCTGTTGATTTTTTAGATTTACTTTTTACTAGGGGATCGCATAATTGGGGTGTAAGTGTAATCTTTGTGACGCAATCACTCTACGGACGAGATATCCGGACTGCTCGTGCAAATGCGCATTATATACTTTTAACCAAAAATCCTCAAGGACTTCTTCAGGTGCGAACACTTGGTTCTCAATTATTTCCAAAAATGATAAACTATTTTCTTGAGGCTTATCGTGATGCTACCTCTGAGCAATTTTCATATTTACTAATAAACATGCATCCAAGTACTGAAGAGAATTTGCGTCTTTCTACTAAAATATTTCCTGGGGAAAAACAGACTATATATTTGCCTCTATAATATATAAGTACTATGAAAACTATGAATTATAAAAAATGTATAACTATAGCCCATACGTTAAAGAAAATTTTGAATTTTTACAGCGTTTAGCTAAAACATCCTCCGATAAAAAGAAAAACGCCTTAATTCTCTCAGCCAGTGCGGATCAAATATTAGCAATTGTGGAAATCTGTGCTAATATTTTAAAAAATAATTTTATTTTAAATAGAAGACAGCGCAAGAAATTAGCACAATTTGCTGAGTTCTATAGAGCTATCGCACGAACACGGTCTGAAAAGAGCGCCAGAAGTCGAATACAACAAGGAGGTAGTGCCGCTCTAGCAGCTATACTTGTACCTGTCCTTGGAGCTTTAGCTGAACATATAATTCATAAATTCACACAAGAATGAAGCATACAAAGAAGATGATTATGGTTCCTGAAAGTGAATATCTTGCACTTTTAAGCATGATTAAAGGTGGAGATTTTCTTCAGAATGAAAAGGTACAAACCGACTCAAAAATTAAACAAACTCTTACTGATCCAAATTTGAGGGAAGATGTAAAAGCCCAAAGATATAACTGGTTATATAAAAAAAGAAGACAACTCAAACATGAATTAGAAAATAGGCCTCAAAAAGTTATTATCGATGAAGGTAATACTACTAGAGCTCCAGAAGTTGCTCCGTACTTAAGTGACACTGCAGCCCCTAAAGCACAGTTAATACCTGTACAAACGAGTTCAGAATATCAAACAGATTCAGAACTTACTTCGTCGAAACAAATGAAAAGGAGAAAAACACCGCCTTTTAAGGGAATAATTTCAAAACGTTATTCAAAAGAATTGGAAAATTATGTCAAAGATAATGCTGAAAAATTTAGAATAAGTAAGAATGGAAGCTTTGAATCTAATGTCAAAGGAAGACTTGTAAAGAATAGTAATTTCACTGAAGTGCTCGAATATGTACAAGGTGATATAGCATCACCACCCAAGGGTTTTAGTTTTCTATTTAATCGACTATCCAAAGACCCATTAGTAAAAGAAATGATTAAAGAGACGCAAGGAGAAAGTGGTACAGAGGAAAGCTCTGGAAGCCAATCAGGAAGCGGAAAAAGAGTCTTAGTAAAACTCCTGGCTATAAAAAGGAAAAATAAATTTATTCCTCAAATATGGGAAAAGCTTTAGATACCTTTTTATCAAAAATTTATTATTCACTTAACTCTCCTGCTTCCTATGCGGGAATGCATCGCGTTTATGAAGAAGCTAAACTCAAATATCCAAAGATAAAATTTCATGACGTTTATAATTTTTTGCATAAGCAAAGAGTGTATACGATGCATAGACCAATTAGAAAAAAATTTCCCAGACTCGTTACAAGGCCAAGTGGTCTTCATACAGATTGGCAAGCAGATTTGGCCATATTTGATCAGATATCTAAACATAATGATAATAACAGATACCTTTTAGTATGTATTGATGTTCTAAGTCGAAAGATTTTTGTAGCGCCCGTCAAAACTAAGAGATCAGAAGATATGATTGAAGCATTTGAAAAAGTTTTCAAACTTTCAGATGGTATCTTGCCTCATAAATTGTATACAGATCGGGGATTAGAATTTGAGGCTAAAAAAATGAGAGATTATTTTAGATCAAAGGATATTGATAAGCGTGTAGTTTATAGTCCTGATGTGCATGCTTCAATGGCAGAAAGGGCGAACCGTACAATAAAAGAAAGATTATATCGATATTTCAGTGAAAAAAACACATTGCGGTGGGTTGAGGCTATTCAGAAAATCGTTTCGGGAATAAATTCTAGCGTAAACCGTATTACAGGTGTTACCCCTAATTCAGTTACTTTTAAAAATTCTCGAAAATTATTTGAGAGGCTATATAAGGACACTGATACAACTATTAAAATAACTTCGAAACTTAATCCTGGACAAGTTGTCCGCATATCAAAAGAAAAGGGTAAATTTGAAAAAGGATATCTAGCTAACTATACTGACGAGCTCTTTATTATACATACAACTAACGACTCACGTACGCCTATAACATATAGGTTAAAAGATTTTGAAGACAACATAATTGAAGGAATATTCTATAGAGAAGAGTTGGTGCCCACACAAGAAGATACTACTCATCGTATTGCCGAAATTTTAAAGACACGTACGACACGTACAGGGATAAAGCAACACTTTGTGCGTTGGGTTGGTTATAAAG